AGATCTTGCCCTGCTTCTGCGTGGCCCTCCTGTCCCATGGTGCCAACAAGGATGGTGGCCCGCCACAGCTAGACCCCATCCATTGCACCCCAACACCCTGGACCACTCTGGGCACAGGAGAGCCATGTGCTCAGAACCTCCCTCCCCTAGAGAGGATGACACATAGCAGGCTTACCTCTGGCCACACACTTGCCCAGGACTCGACCCCTCCAGTCGCCCTACTGACCATTCCCTTATGGAAGCCCTGAGCTGGGGGCCACCAGCTTTTCTTCCCCTCATCTACAGACACTGGAACTGGCACCACGACACCTGCCTTGGGTCCCACTCGCAGACCCTGCCTGAGCTTCTCCTGGTGACTCACCCTTAGGCTGTGAGCACCGGTTGACAGTTGCTGGCACAGCCTCCCCCGGTGACCAAGGAAACAGCCCCATTCTGCCCACCTTCGGAAAGATGGGGCACAGCGTTTTGGCATTGAGAGCATGAAACCCCACAAGCGTCCAGGTGACCTGCGGATGAAGCACCGGGACAATCCCAGAGCTCTCCCAGCTGCAGCTAACAGTTTTTTCTTTGCTTTCATTATTGCCATTCATTCATTCATTCACTCACACATTCACTGCAGGGTGGTATGTAAAGTATCGGAAACACAAAAACAAGCCAAACGTGGAGTCTCTGCCATCGTGGTCCTCAGCCCAACAGGTGAGTGGGAAGATGGGGGGAACAGAGGGCATGGGTGGAGCCACATCCCCTCCCCTTCTGCTAGGAGCTGGGGGCGGGGCTGGCTGACCCCACGAGGGCTCTGGCTGCTTCCAAAGAGCTTGTAAGAGACCCTGGAGAAGGTGGGCTCAGGCCAGCAGCTCCTGAGCTTGTCTCCACGACTCCATTTTTTTTTTTTTTAAACAGATCTCCAGGCTGGAGTGCAGTGGCATGATCTTGGCTCACTGTAACCTCTGCCTCCCGGATTCAAGTGATTCTCCTGCCTCAGTCTCCCAAGTAGCTGGGACTACAGGTGCTTGCCACCATGTCCTGGCTAATTTTTGTATTGTTAGTAGAGACAGGGGTTTCACCATGATGACCAGGATCGTCTTGATCTCTTGACCTTATGATCCACCTGCCTCAGCCTCCCAAAGTGCTGGGATTACAGGTGTGAGCCACAGCACCCGGCCCATGACTCCTTTTATGATTTGCGAAACTGTTCTTCTGCCCTTCCATCTGTCCCTGCATCTCCAAAACTATGGTCTATCAGAAGAGTGGTTCCCATTAAGCAAGAAGAAACCAAAGCTGCACAGCATGGGACCACCCAGCTGGTGTTGTCACATTGGGCTGATGAAACCCTGACCCAAACAGAGGATCTGCATTCTTGGTTCACCCGAATCACCTTCTTACTTAGATCCGTGTGGGGTTTCTGCTGTGCTGCTGGAAATACGTATCAAAGCTCCTGGCTCCAGTATTTGTTAGGTTCTGCTGTGACAAGGTAGTTTAGGCATCTGGAAATGAGGCCCAAAGGCTGACTTCAGGAGGCTGGATGGAATCAGGCCCCTGTGATGGCCCCTGATGTGGGATCCTGGGGCTCTTCCACGCTGGCCTCGTCCTCAGGCCCCCCTGGTGCTGAGATGGCTGCTGCAGCTCACCCGAGCCTGAGTCCAGAGAAGTCATGTTGCTTCAGCCTGAGTCCTCGGGGTCACTCTGATTTGACCAGTTTGGGCCCTGAGCCCTCCCTGATCCCATTGCTACAGCTGTGGGCACTGGACATCCTGATCAGCCACACTGGGTCACACGTCCCATGCCTGCAACTCCCCAGAACACATGTACGGGAGGTCCCCAAAGGGAGGCTGGGCACCAGGGGACCCTCCAGGATGGCCCTCACAGACACTGGCTGGGACCCACCGTCCCGCCCCACCCTGTTTCTGTAAGGACCACGGAACCAGCAGCAGTCACCACAGAGAAGCAGGGAGGAGACGCCCTGGGCTACATCCCCTGCACACCTCCCATCTGAGGGACAGGTGGGGCCGGTCACTGCAGCTCTGGTGTCTGGCCTTCATTACATCTTCCCTTGCAGGCTCTGGGCATGTCTCATGCCTGTCTCTGTCCTCTCTGCGATGGGGTCCTTGCCCAGAGCTCATCTATTCCAGACGGGCACGCTGCTCCTTTTGCCACCCTGTGATGTCGCCACGCCTGCGTGGGTCCTGCATGCTATTGGTGACAACCTGCAAATCTCTAACTCCTGTACCTTGAGTGGTCCCGAAATCCTATTTGACTTCCCCAAAACACTTACGTTCCTGGGATTGTGACACAGCTTGGAGGTAGGACTCAGGCAGGGGACAAGAGAGAAGACAAATGAAGGCATCAGGCTCTGGTGTCTTCAAAGACCCTCCCCTCTTGACATCTCCCATCAGGTATCCCCATGTGCTCCCTTAGGGGTGAGCTCCTTCCCCTCCTGTGGGCTTCTGGGAAGGTTGGGGGACTGTTCCCAGACTGCTTGGGAGTCTATGAGATGCAATTGTTCTGCCCACCGCTGTCTCTCCCATGAGGCCCATGGACCCTCTTGCAAATGGAACACACTGGCTTGCTCAGACACATTCACACTTGCAATGGGCATGTGGCTGTCCCTGGTTCAGGTCCCTCACCCACCTGAAACCTCCTCTTCCTCCAAGAACACACCAGCACGATGCCGGGGCCCACGGACACCTGTGCCCCATGCCCCTAAAACAGAATTAAAGCATGGATTTTGGCAAATCAATTTTATTGTTTAGAAAATAAATGTTACATTTGACATAGAAAAAGGCATTTAAAAAACGTTTTTAAAAGGTTTAAAAAGGCAATTGTTCTGGCCAAGTGCGGTGGCTCATGTCTGTAATCCCAGCGCTTTGGGAGGCTGGGGCAGGTGGATCGTCTGAGGTCAGAAGTTTGAGACCAGCCTGGCCAACATGGTGAAACCCTGTCTCTACTGAAAATACAAAAATTTGCTGGGCATGGTGGTGTAATCCCAGCTCTTAGGAGGCTGAGGTAGGAGAATCACTTGAACTCCGGAGGCAAAGGTTGCAGTGAGCCAAGATCGAGACACTGTACTCCAGCCTGGGTGACAGAGCAAGACTCTGTCTCAAAAAAAAAAGGCATTTGTTCTGAATGTGTCTTGTGTCTCATCATCCCAGGGATCTTTAAGTTTCCAGTATTTCCATAAAAACCAGTGGGGTTCCCCTCTCTGAAAAAAAGCACGAACATTCTTGCCGCTTGGCAATGGGTGGCTCTCATGCCCACGCCTCTCCACCCAAGGGAACAGTCTCTCTGCTCCTCACCTGGCAGAAGCCCAGACCCCGAGTCCCTAGCGCAGAGTAGAGTGCAGGAACGTGATCCGATGAGGCAGGCCCCGCCCCTGTCTAGTTCTTCTGCAACAGCCTCTCAGCACTGCTCCAATGTGACCTGTCCAGCTGGAATCACAGTTCCCACTCAGACACAGGTAAAGACAAGCTCCTGGGACCCAGCAGGGGCTCTGCCCTTGGGATCTGCTCCCAGCTGGCTCTTCCTGGTGGACAGAACCAGGAGAGGAAGGTTTCCAACACATCTCAGAGAGGTGGAGGCAAGTCAGGTTCCTGATTTCCAGCAAATACAGATCCTTCCTCCCACATGCAGGCATCCCATAATGCCTTACAACAGACCCCTCTAGACTTCTGCGGCGATAGAGTGCAGGACCCAGACTGACACGGGTGGGGTCTGTTAACACTTCCACTTTCAAAGCTAACTACCAGCTGTTCAAATATACTCCATACAGCTCTCAGCAAAGCCAAGTGTTTACCTCTCCCACACCAAGGCAAGAAAAGATGCAGACTGCCTTTAAGGCACCTGATGGCAAGGTGAGGGTTTAAACAAAGATCAGCCTTGAGAATCAAAGCAGCAGCAGACGTGTAATTACTCCAATGCTCCTGCTTCCCACGTGTGGGTCACACAGAGATGGGCACCTCTCCAGTGACCTGCTTTGCAAACAGACACACTCCCCAAAATTGGCTAAAAGGCTTCGGCAAAGGGATCGTGTTCCCCCTGGCCTGCTGGAATCTCAGAAATGCATCTGAAAGTCCTTGCCATCCTGTCCAGTGCTGATGACAGCGTGAGTCAAGTTGCACCTTGCTCAGCAACAAGCTGTGAGAGCCTCAGTTTCTCACTCACACCCCACCTCGCGCTGCTGACGGCCGCTTGGAGAACCATGTGTGCAGCTCTTCCTGGATGGCATCTGCCGTCATTAGTCTTCCCAGAACATCCGCTGCCCAGGGTTCTTGCTCCTTTCCCCAGTGGACAGATTTTGCAGGGAAGACTAAAGAGATGGGAGGGAGCAGAAGGCACAGGAGGTGGGTTGTTTTATAGGGAGACTGCCCAGGGCACTGCTAAAGAAAAAACAAGAACACGGGAGTGTCCAAATCAATCCCTATGCATGAGCAAATAAAGATGGACATTGGACTGTGCCAAATGACACCTGGGCTCACACATGCTGGTCAGTGGACAAGAGACAGAAGCAGGCAGGACTATTAGAGGAATAAATCTGCACTTCCAACGAGGCAGCTCCCATGACTGAATTACAATGCTTGGTGCCTCCAAGGGCAGACGGCACCAGCCGGGAGGTTTGTAGGGCATCATCGCTTCGGATGCCCTCGCAGGCTCTGATTCGCCACCAGATGCTGGTGAGACTGGAAGCACTTCCTTCCTTCCTGTGTACAGTATGAACGGCACTGCTTCAACTGCCACCCACACGGGTGCAGCCTCATGGGAGAGTTGTAGAGAGAGAGAATGCGTTCAGCCAGTGGATGACCAGGGGTAAGTGGCCCCTAGTGGGTCACATGGCCTGTGACATCTGGTGGCCGCAGATCTTCGCCCTCTGGAGCCTCATTTGCAGGGTGAATGGGTGCTAGGGTGTCATCCGGTCACTGCGGCCACCTCGTCCTTGTCACCATGGGCCTTTCCTGTGCCATGCTCACTCTGACACTGAGATGCTGCCAGGGTGCTTTTTTTTTTCTAACCAGTGGAGTAAGTTCTAAGGGAGTCCCATGTGCTTAAGATAACAATCTAGCTGGGTAAAGCGGACGCAGAGGCTGCTTCTGTGAGGCTGCATATATCATACAGGACAAAGAGTTTTGTACCTGAAAACCAAATTCTGGGAAACAGTCCTGCGGCTTTGGAAGCTTCTCCCTCCCTGTTGGGTGTTCCACCTGGGCCCTCCAGAACAGGGACAGGAGAAACACAAGAAAAGCAGCAGGTGCCAGACTAGGGAGCCTGAGCCCTGCAGAGTTTGGAATGAAATCCCTCGAGAGAATTGTGGAATATTAGGCCAAACGGTAGGAAGCTTTGTGTATGATTCTAATTTGGGGGCCCAAGAGTAGGGTTAAAGCATTGTCTGCAGAGAAACGAACAACAGGGAAATTCAATAAGATGGGCCTATTTTAACTTGCAGTTGGCAGAAAATTTGCCCCCAGATTTTGATCTAGCTTACATCTAGTTTAAAGTCCCTTGATTCCTTCCCCTTTACAAAGGTGATCATGCTTGCTCTAGAGCTGCTGACTGAAAAGGTCTACCAAAGGAGGGGCCCTTCTGCCATTTATAGGCCCCCACGGGCACACATGGGCTTCCATGTGGATGGAATCATTGGTCCTGGACTGTGGTAACTGCTGCCACCATAGGACCCAAGGGCTCCCAGGTGAGGAAGAGGCCAGGAGCATGCCTGGGAACACAGCCCTGGAATCCCACAGACCTGGGTTCTGAGCAGGGCTGCTGCCTGGTCTGTTGTCATCATTCTTTCCTTTTCTTTTCTCTTTTTTTTGAGTCAGGGTCTCACTCTGTCTTCCAGGCTAGAGCACGCTAGTGCAATCACACCTTACTGCAGTCTCAGCCTCCTGCACTCTGGTGATCCTCCTACCTCCGCCTCCCGAGTAGCTGAGGCTACAGGTATGCACCACCATCCCTGGCTAATTTTTAAAAAACTTTTTTTAGATGGGGTTCTCACCATGTTGCCCAGGCTGGTTTCAATCTTCTGAGCTCAAGTGAACCTCTCACCTCAGCCTCCCACAGTGCTGGGATTACCGGCATGAGCCACTGCACCTAGCCCAATTTAGTGAAATTTAAGAAGCATTTTTAAAAAATGAAAACTAAGAAATAGAGGATATCCAAGGTCCTAAGGGTAAGAATTTTTTTTTATGAAACTTGCTTGAGACACAGTTGTAAATGAATGAACTGATTTATGATGGAAGGCACGTTTCTTGTGGCAGACTCTGGTCTGAAGTTTGAAAGCCACCAGCCTAGAGGGTTCTGAGAACTTCTCCTTCCTAACCCAGGTGAAGGGAAAGGGGTGGGCAGGGGCAGGGGAACATGGACAGCTCCAAGTTTGGACTTTTCCAACCTGATTTGAAGAAGGTACTTGATTCTGGAAAGGAGACCTTTGGTCTTTTGACCCCCACTCACACTCCCACCCACGCCCCGCACAGACCCATGGTGCATCCCAGGCAAGGCTGAGCTAGAACAAGACATCCCAGACTCGGCGTCAGTGACTACTATTCAGAAATGGTGACTTCAAGGGCCGGTTTGCCCTTCATCCTGCAGGGGTACTTGGGCATGTGAAGGCCCCTTTCTCTCTGGCATTGCCACTGCAGAGGAGTCAGTTCCTGAAGAACAGATGGGAGAGCGCTGGGGCCAGGCACCCGGGGAGAAAGGAGGGAAATGAGAAATCCGGCACAGGAGCTGCGCCGTGAGCAGGGCACTCAGGAGGTGGCAGTGCGGTGCAAGGGCTCCCCCACGCGGCCAGCTGTGGAACTTCCACCGCGACCCCCTGTCCTCTCCTGAGCCCGCCCATCACGTGCAGAAGCACAGACACTGGGCGCTGGAATGGGGGCTTCCCGGCTCTGGGCTCCACGATTCTGTCCTAATGAGGGGCATTCTCCATGTTTATAAAGACGGATGTACTGGCCGGGCGTGGTGGCCACACTTGTAATCCCAGCACTTTGGGAGACTGAGGTGGGTAGACTGCCTGAGCTCAGGAGTTTGAGACCAGCCTGGGCAACGTGGTGAAACCCTTGTCTCTACAAAAATACAAAAATTAACCAGGCGTGGTGGCTGACACCTGCAGTCCCAGCTACTCAGGAGGTTGAGGCACGAGAATTGCTTGAACCCAAGAGGTGGAGGTTGTAGTAAGCCAAGATCTTGCCACCGTGTTCCTGTCTGGGCGACAGAGAGAGACTCTGTCTTAAAAAAAAAAAAAAAAAGAGAGAGAGAGAAAGATTCTCTGTCTAGCCTGGGTTGGCAGCCAGAGTAAGCAGTCTGAACAAGAGCCCCGGCTTGGGAACCAGGTCTCAGGCCGGCATTGCAAATGAAAACCAAGATTCCTTGAAATCCATAGCCTTGAAGTGTAAATAGTCCAGAGAAAAACTGACTTCGCCATGCTCCCGCACCCACGAAAGCCCTCTCTGAAAATGTGGTCGAAATTTTGTATCTGCCCGATCGGGTGCAAGTGTAAGGTGGGGGAAAAATCGACCTTAACCAAGAGTTCTATCTCCCAGCCTTGACTGTGGGATGTTGAACAAACAAAACTACACGTGTCCTGGGAATTTTGCTTTGTGTTGTTTTTTTAAAAGAATGTCAGAGCCCTCCTTGGGGGTTTCAGAAAAGCAGGTATTGCTGGCCCATGGCGTCTCAAGACCACAGTCCCCAACCTGTGCTTATGGAGAAGCTACCCACTTACTTCCCCGGTCTCGGCAGTGTTAGTGTTGAGGTGAGAGGTAGCAGGAGAGAGAGCAGACGGGAAGGCACAGGGCCACCAAGGGGCAGGGAGAGAAGGCCTGGCTGCAGCCCTGTCACCCACAAAGCGAGTCCTGAAGGGCTGTGGGCAGCCGCCCCGCCAGTGAGGCCTGGCTCCTGTCTGGTAGGAGCAGAGCTGCCTGGATGGCCCTGTGTCACTTGATGCTCCATCTCTCTCCCCACTAATGAGCTGTCACCTCAGTGGGTGATTTAACTGGATCTTTCCTGGTAAAACAAGAAGGGCTACTGAGAGTGGAACATCCACCCGGGAGTCCCCTGAGATGTAACTGATCCTCTTAAATTGGAGTTTCCCAGGATGGCCTGATTACGTGCACCCAGCATGCCTCATGGAGGAAGACTAGCAGGACAGAGGAAGAGCGGAGGTCGGGGGTCCTCCCCAAGGAAGCTGGGGGCATAAGACCCCACCTCCCCATGCAGAGCAGGTCATCAGCTGAGAAAGGGAGCTCCAGACAGCACTCAGATTTCTGGGGCCGGGCACAGTGGCTCACACGTGTAATCCCAGCACTCTGGGAGGCTGAGATGGGAGGATCACTTGAGTCCAGGAGTTTGAGACTAGCCTGGGCAACTAGCAAGAGCTCATCTCTGCAAATAATTTTTTTAATTAAAAAAAAAATCTGGAACCTTTTTCATCGCCTAATCTTTGCTGCCGTATTCCGGTTATCAGCCCTCATCTCTCTATAAATGGAGTCTGAGGAATAGCAAAGATGCAGGCAGGAGACTGGAATTCCCACTGCACAGCCAGGATGGAGAGAGGGACAGCGAGCGGGAGCAGGCGGAGGCAACGAAGAGGAGGGACAGAGGCTGGATGTGCAGAGGTTCTAGAAGGGGCAGCTGGGGAAGGAGGGGCTTGACCCCTTCAAGGTCTCAAGACGGTCCCCAGTGCCCCTGCCTTGCACATGGTAATGTACTCCTCTGGGTACCTCTGCACCTTCTGTCTGCCAATCATGCTCTTTGAATGTTCCCCAGGAGCCAGTTCAAGGACCACCTCCCCCAGGAAACCTTCCCTGATTAACCTCAGCCCACCATGTCTCCTCCTGTGAACACGGTAGCTGGGCGCCATCCTGTGTTGTGCTGGCTGATGGAAATGTGTGACTGCTGCAGTGCTTTTCTTAAGGTTTCTCTCCTGGCCTGGATTTGGAGCTTCGCAGGAGCAGATTCCATTTCTTCTTTGTTTCTGCATCTATCCACCACTAGACAGAGCTGCCTGTCAGAGGCATTGGGACAAGGCCTTGTCCTGCCCTCTCTGGGGCCTGACTGTGGGGCAGCAGGGTCTGGAGAGCCAGGGCATGCTGGGCAGGTGGTGGGGCCGAGAGGGGAGGGAGACAGAGGTGAAGGAAAGCGCAGGAGCAGAGCGGGCAAGGGGCGCAGGCACCCTCATCCCAGGAAGGCGTCGTAGTCCATGTACCACACCAGCTGGCCAGAGTGCGGCAGGACACCTGAGATGGGCCACTTCTTGGGCTCATGGCCCACCCGGCTCACTAGTGTGGTGATTTCACGCTTCATCCTGCCCATGACCAGGACTGCCACCTTCTTGGCGCGGTTGATGAGAGGAAGGCTGAGGCTCATGCGGCGGTATGGCTGGGAGGGGCTTGTGGTCAGCACGACCAGCTGCTCGCCATCCAGGCCAGTGGGTGACTGTGGGAAGAGGGAGGCTGTGTGCCCATCGGCGCCCATGCCCAGCAGCACCAGGTCGAAGCTGCTGTTGGCCACCAGGGTTGAGATCTCCCTGGCATAGAGCTGGGCGCCCTGGTCCTCCTCAGCGCAGAGCCGCTGCTGCAGGTGCACCGGCATGGGGTGGATGTTGAGGTAGGGGACCCGGACGTGCTGCAGCAGGTGGGCCTGCAGGCTCTGGAAGTTGGACTCTGGGTCGGAGAGCGGGACGCAGCGCTCGTCAGCCAGCCACAGGTGCGTGTGGGCCCAGGGGAAGCCATAGTGTGCTGTGGCCAGCTGCTGGAACAGGGCCACAGGACTCGAGCCCCCTGACAGCGCCAGGTGGAACTGGCCAAAGCGCCGCACGGCCTGCACAGCGGTGGCCTCGATGTCAGTGGCCAGCTTAGAGATCAGCTCCTCGGACCAGGCAGACACCAGCGGGCTCTCTCGGTACTTGGCCCTGAGGACCTGGAAGTCACTGGGCATTGGGGCCGACCCTGGCCCTGGCACCAGCTGCTCCGGCTGCTGCTGGGAATAGAACAACCGGCCGCTACTGAACTCAAAGTCCAGCAGATGGCCGTTCTCAGCTCCTCCAGGATACAGGCGTGGGGCCGTGTGGGCCAGGCTCTCCAGCAGGGGTGTCCAGAAGCCCCAAGAGGCCAGCAGATTCTCCGTGGTGATGAAGGAATCCTTCCGGCCGTGGTAGATGTGGGATAAGAGGATGGAGTAGGCGTCCCGTTCCTGCACGGGGCTGTAGGCATAGTAACTGGACAGAGGGCTGCCGAAAAGGCGGAGCCCAGGCGGGCCCTCCACTTCCTTCCAGCCGGAGGGCAGGGAGGGCCTGAACAGGTTCCTGCTGACCAGCACAGCTGGGCTGCCCAGGTCACCATGGCCAATGTGGAAGACAACCTGCCGAGGCAGGCACTGGCTCTGCGTCGCCGCCCAGTGCTTTTCGCTCTGGACACAGCATGCCTGGTTCTTGAACAAGATCCGAGCGTAGCCCACTCTCTCATCCAAGGCTTTGCCAGACATCAGGATGAAAGGCACGCCCTCCCAGCGAAGGTTGTCAATGTGCACGAGGACGCCTGGGGCGAGGGAACAGCAGAGGGTGACTCTCCGGCACAGAACAGGACTCTCCGGCCAGCCCTCTCCTCGCTGGCCCCTCCTCCAGGCATCCCCCTGCCTGTGGGAAGCCCCTCGCCTTGTCATGATCACCCCTCAGCTGGCCTCTCTTCTATGACCTTCTCTTCCTGGTCCATGCTGGAAAACTGGCCTCTGGGGTAATCTCTACAACTCTGCCACCTCCCTTCCTTGAGGCCCCTCTTAGAGTCATGGTCCCCCAGCAAAAAAGAGCCTGGCTGAGAGCCTCCACGCTGGAGACTCTACAGGAAGCCCCATACTGGGGGCAAGCGGGGAGGGGGATCCTGACTCAGGTGTATAAGGGGGCGGGGGGCCCTACAGAGAAATGCGCTCCCCTCCTCTGTTTGTGAAGCATTCACGATGTACCCAACCCAGGGTCAGATGCAGGGGGGGTGGGGAGACAGTCACTCAACCAGAGGCCCGTGGGCAGGGTGTCAGTGGGGAGGATGGCTTCGGGGAGGGCAAGGCCTGGTGGCAAGAGCCAGGAGCTGATGGGACTCCATGGCCAAATTCCAAGCCTGGTTCATTTTCATGACATCACCGAGCCTGACGTTTCCTCACCCATAAAACGGGGCTAATGGTTCCCGCCTCTTGGTTCGTGCGTGAGGCTTGCATGAGAGACGTTTACAGGCGCCCGGCACGTGGCACATGCTCCGTAGGCAGCTGCAGCTCTTGCTGCCTGGCTGCTAGCTGCCAAGGAGCTAGCCTCTCCCAGAAAGCCCTGGGCCTCTGGAACTGCCTAGAGGACAGCCCCAGCCTGGCACTTGCCCACTGGAAGTGTCTCCAGCTGTGGCCGGGCCAAAGGCTCACGGCCTTGCTGGGTAGACCCTATGAGGCAGGAACCAGGTCTGTCTGAGCCTCATGTGACAAACCCTTGGGAAGCATCTGGGACTGAAGTGGGGCTGATGCGAGGCCAAGGCCATCAGGACATCCTTCACCCTGAGAGCACCAGCAGGTGGCCTGCCACTCCGAGCTGGTAGGAGGCCAGGAAGACAGGGGAATGCTTTCTGCCAAGTGCCCTGGGAGAAATCCCACCACAAATCCCCTCCACTCCACCCAAAGGAGCCTGGGTTTGGAAAGCTGTTCCCGGAAGTGGGCAGCCCAGTGCCTGTGCCCGACCCCAGGGCCCACCTGTGAAGGTCGGCGTCAGGCTGTGGAAGCTGTCTAGCTTCTGCAGCTCCCTGCGCACCTGCTCGTTGTAAGCCTGGTACTGGCCCACGACGGCACTGGCCCTCTGCAGGCCCCGCAGTGCCTGGAAGAGCCGAAGCTTGTGCCGCAGCACCGCCTCCACGCTGCTGACGCTGTGGGGCAGCTCCATGGCCACCAGGGTGAGGATCTCCGTCAGGTGGTTCTGGAGGACATCACGAATGACACCGTACTCCTCGTAGAAGCTGGTGCGCCCTGGTGAAGGGAGGTGGAGAAGGGGAGGATGTAAAGAAAGGCCAGAGCATCAGATTTCCCCAAGGTGCACCAAGACCCCAGCCCCACATTCGTCCTGCATCCAAGCATCCTCGTCCCTGAGTCCACAGAGCCTATAAAAACGGTGCACACCAAAGCCAACCTCGCCAAGAGAAGGGAGGAAGGAAGTCTTAAAGCCACCACCTCTGTCAATCAATAAGAACTACTGTAAGAGAATGCATTAAGTCCATAAGCCTCTCCAGAAATCCACGTGAAGAAAGCTCTATTCCCAGTAAAGGCCAGACTGCATCTGCAGATACTGGCCAGCCCCTCGCCCTGCCCTGCCTGGCCACTGGCGGCAGACGGCTTGGCACTGTGGGGGCTATGGTGCCATGGCGGGGGTGGCAGCACCGTGGCAGGGGCTCGGGCCCCAGAGTGTGACTGCCGCTTACTAACGTGTGATCTTGGGCAAGTAACTTGACTTTTGTTCCTGCATCCTGCCCTCGGATGGGACCAACAAATGGTGCCTCACTACCAGGCACATACCTGTGCCAGGCAGTGTGCAGGGGAGCGGGAAAGAGGGAAAGTGGGAAAGAGAGAAAAGGAAGTAAATAAAACTACAGACCGGCTGTGACTGAGGGTAATGAAAAAGCCCCTCTGAGACCCGAAGAGCCAGCCCTGCAAAAAGCCAGAGAGAGAGTGTCTCAGATGCAGGGACCCTCCAGTGCCAAAGCCCCAAGGCAGGAAGGAAATTGGCGTGCTGGCGGCGAGATGGAGGTGAGAAAAGAGTGGGGACAGCAGTGAGGCTGGAGAGGAGTGCACGGGTCTCGCAGGACAAGGCGAAGAGGCTGCACTTTTTTCTAAGCTCACCGGGGGACGCTGAAGGGTTTGAGGCAGAAGACGAAACCCATATTGGGGATCAATGCCTGGCCTGCAGGGGAGAATGGGTGCAGAAGCAGGAAAGGCAAGGAGGAGGCTGCACGGCTGCCCAGCGGAGACGACAGGGCCTAGACTAATGGGCAGTACAGGAGCTGCGGGGGAGGGAGATGCACCCGGAGTCAGGATTGGCTGGACCTGCTGACAGACAGGGTGGGTGTGAGCAACACGGAGGCCCCAAAGATGAGCCCTGGAAATGGGGCCTGAGTGGAGGGATGGGCAGTGGAGGCGCTCACAGACACAAGGAGGCTGGGAGTGGAGTTTGGTGGAGGATTTAGATGTGTTTAGGCTGAAGACCCCAAGGTGCACACGTCCAGTTGTCAGGTGCACAGGGTGACCGTGAGGATAAAAGGGAAGAACACCGGGATAACACAGAGCAGCAAGCCCAGCGTTAACAGCAACATAACAACACTGATGTAAAAACAACATAACACTGGCATAACAACAGCAACATAACAACACTGATGTAAAAACAACATAACACTGGCATAACAACAGCAACATAACAACACCAGTATAACAACATAACACTGGCATAACAACAATGTAACACCACCAGCATAAGGACATAACACCAGCGTAACAACATAACACCAATGGAACAACAATGTAACAATACTGGTGTAACAGCAACATAACACTGGTGTAACAACAACGTAACAACACCAATGTAACACACTGGCAGCATAGTAACATAACAACACTGGTGTAACCACAGCAACATAACAATACCAGTGTAACAACATAACACTGACATAACATTACAACACCAGCATAACAACAGCAATATAACACCAACTTAACAACAATATAACAACGTTGGCATAACAAAACCAATGTAACACCACTGTAACAACACCAACATAACAACACTAGCATAACAACACTGGTGTTAACGCCAGCATAATATGGCAACATAACACTAGCATAAGAATGTAACAACACCAGCATAAGAATGTAACACCAGCATAACAACAATACCAACGTAACAACAGTGTAAAAACACCAGCATAACAACAATGTAACAATAGTGTAACACCAGCAACATAACACTGGTGTAACAATACCAGCATAACAACAACATACTGGCGTGACACTAGCAACATAACACCAGTGTAACAACAATGTAACAACACCAGCATAACAACATAACACTGGCATAGCAACACTGATATAACAACAGCAACATAATAACACCAGTGTAACAACATAACACTGACATAATGTTACAACACCAGTGTAACAGCAGCAACACAACACTAGCTTAACAACAATGTAACAACACTGGCATAACAGCAGCAGCATCACACTGTAACACCAACATAACAATGTAACAATACTGGCATAACAACATACCACTACCATAACACCAGCATTACAATGTAACAACACCAGCATAACAACAATGTAACAGCACTGGCATAACATGAGCAACATAGTACCAGTGTAACAACATAACAGCACCAGTGTAACAATAACATACAACACTGGAATAACACCAGCAACATAAAGCCAGCATAACATAACAGCACTGGCATAACAACATAACACCACCAGCATAACAACAATGTAATACCACCAGCATAACAACAATGTAACAACACTGGCATAACACCAGCAACATAACACCGGTGTAACAACATAACAACACTGGTATAACAGCAACATGATGACACCGGCATAATAACATAACAACACCAGCATAACAATGTAACACCAGCATAGCAACAGCAACATAACACTGGCATAACAACATGTAGCCACACTGGTGTAACAGCAGCAAAATAACCCCAATGTAACAACATAACACTGGTGCAACAACCTAATGCCACTATGTAACAATGTAATAACACCTGTGTAACACCGACATAACACTGGCATAACAACAGCAACATAACACCAGCATAACAGTGTAACAATGTAACAACACTGGTGTAACAGCAACATAACACTGGTGCAATGTTACAAGACTGGCATAACACTAGCAACATAACCCCAGTGTAACAATATGACAACACTGGCGTAACACCACCAACATAACAATACCAGTGTAACAACATAACACCAACATAACAACACTGGTGTTAACACCAACATATCACTGGCATAACAGCAACATAACACCGGTGTAACAACATAACACCAGCATAATGGCACCATAACACTGGCATAACAGCAACATAACACTGGCATAATAGTATAACACTGGGGTAACAGCAACATAACACCAGAATAACAACAGCAACATCAAACATAACAGTGGCATAACACCATAACACTGCTGTGACAACAATGTAACATCAGTGTAACAACAGCAACCTAACAACAGCATAACAATGTAACAACACTAGCATAACAATAGGACCATAATGCCAGCATAACAACAATGTAATTACACTGGTGTAACAACATAACACCGATGTAACAATGTAACAACACTGGCATAACAACGGCCACCTAACACCAGCGAAACAACAATGTAACAACACCAGCGTAACAATAGCAACACCATATAACAGTGTAACAACGCTGGTGTAATAACATAACACCAACGTAATAATGTAACAACACCAGTGTAACAGGAACACTGGCATAACAACATAACACCAGCATAACAGCAACACAGCATAACAATGTAATAACACTGGCATAACAGCACCAGTGTAATAATGTAACACCAGCATAACAACATATCAACACCAGTATAACAAAAACAGCATAACAACAATGTAACACTGGCATAACAACACCAGCATAACACCAGCGTAATAACGTTACAACACCAGTGTAACAACATCAGTCTAACAACACTGGCATAGCAACACCGGCATAACACTGGCATAACAGCAACGTAACACTGGCATACCACCACCAACATAACAACACTGGTGTAACAACACCAACATAACACCGGCATACATAACAGCGACAACATAACAGCACCAGTGTAACACTAATGTAACAACAGTGGCATAACACAGTAATGTAACAACAACATAATACTGGTGTAACAACATAATACTGTCGTAACAACAACATAACAATACTGGTGTAACAACAACGTAATAGCAC